TGCTCAGACCTTCTGGCTGAGACCCATATTCAGGGGGGTCCGAGTCAGACCCCTGTTGGCTTCCCAGCTATCAGTCTAGTGGCCCTTAGCTCCTCCTTGTTCAGGTAAGCTGTCTCTATGTACTTCTACCGCATGGTCTTGTCCTCTCCATCTGCTTCTGGGTTCTAGTTTGACTCAGTGTTTATGTATGGGTGTTTGCTCCTGTTTTCAACAGGCATTAGTTGAGGACTCCATGGAGAAGTTAGTTGTTGATCTCACTCTCCGGGATTATTTTCTTAAGGCATGTTTGTATATGAGGAATTTAAAAACTTGAGAATATCAACTTTTTAGGTGATTTTGGTACATACTACTATTAACTTAGAAATATTGTGGTGGTTTATGTTTCTATCAATGATCTGTATGAGAATCATTATTTCATCACTACTGGTAGTAAAAAATAATATTTATATTAAAAAAACCTTCCTTAATTAAGATGAAACTAGCATCTCAAAATTATTTCCTTTGATTTCTACTGAGGAGCTTCCAGATTTTAAAATGTAAACTTGACATTGCTTTTCTCTAGGAAATTAATATTTTAGTCCTTAACTTTTTTGTGACATTAAATTCTGTACTTGATCTTAGCCAAAATCACCCATTCCCCCCTGAAGTGGGTTTTTGTCAGGTATTTGATCATAACAATGTGTGAAGTAGCTGACACAAGCCTGTGCATCTGGACTCCTCCAGAGAAAAGTAAGTGACAAATTATCCATGCAAGACTCTTCCTGTGTGAAGTAATTGACACAGTGCCCATGTGTCTGGACACTTCCAATCCTGCAGCCACATGTCACTCCCAGCACACGCATCAGAAGATGAATAGTTGCAACCTCATTTCCTGACAATCTCGAACCATACTTGCTTAGCTGGTTTTCTTTGCGAAGACAGAGAGGTCCACTGTTTCTTAAGAACCCTCCCTTCTCTGGACCAATCCTCTCTTCTGAGTTTGTCTAAATTGTGCTTGAAATCAGAAGGCCCAAGGACTGAGAGAATCCTCATAAAATTGTACTTTCTCTAGAGGAGGAAAACCAACTTCAACCTGGTGAGTGCTGATGGGGATGAGGGAGTGAGTAAGGAGAGAAGGCTGCATGGTCAGAGATGGTTGTTCAGGCTGGTTGTAAAATGAGTTGACTGGGTTGTTCCTATGTAATGTGACCTACAGGGAAGGAAGCATTCCTTCCTCAAGTTCTCTGTAAGAGAATTAGTGGGGAGCTCACAAGCACGTTTAAGGGTAGAGGCTGGGTCTCTGATACATCTTTATTCAGGTTTGGTGTTGGAGACAAAATTGAAAATGATCACATGAGGACTTTTGCACATTCAGTGATAATTCTGTATTATTATAGTCATACCATTCAAAATGCAGTCCTTGTCATTGGGAATCTTGTTTTTCTGTTGTAAACAAAGAGATGGAAACAGATTGGTCTTTCTTAATTTTTACAAAGTGCTGTAACTTCTGTTGACGTAAGCAAATCCATGAGTATCTACAGTCAAGGTTTTGATTTCCAGCCTACATTGCTGTCTCAAACATTTTGTCTCCATGGCAGTTCCTACTGTCTCAGGCTGGTTTGTATGATTGTTTTAAGTTTTCCCTGGCTCTCAAAAATCAAACGTGCTGAAGTATGAATTTATTTTCTTTCTCCACTTGGAAATGGTACTCAGGGAAGTAGCATCACTTCCCTTGTATTGCCTGATCTAGAAATCCCGAAGTCCTCTGTGCTCCTCCGTGTCTTTCTCATGACCCACATGAAACCCATCATTAATTTTTTTTTGATTCTGTAGCAATCTTGAGTCATCAGCCTTGTGTCATCTTATTTGAATATTGCTATGAATAGCTTCAGAAGTTAGTCACATTCTTTGCTGCCAAGATTTTTATACTGAGGAATTTTTCATGTCACAAAACTACTTAGATTATTCTTTGCCTTAATTATGTTCTCTTTTGCCCATTGGTAGTCCAATTGGCCCTACGGATTCATGGATCCTGCGGCTTTGGAATTAAGTGACCATTGGCTGATCGTATCCAGAACAGGGCAGATGGCTCAGCAGGTCCAGCACTTGCTGTGCAAGTGTGAGGGTCAGACTTCTAATCCCGAGAACCCGCTTAAACCCCATGGGCAAGGGGCTCACCTGTGTAATCTCAGCAGGTGGGAGGAATATCTAGGGCGCCTCTGGGGCAACCCGGCTAGGCAAACTAGCTGAAATGGGGAGCTCTGGTGTCAACAAAAGATTATGTCTCAATATAGATGAAGGGGAGTGATTGACAGTCACTCAGTGACAGCCACAGGCCTTCATGTGCACACATGTGTATTACATCTATGAAAATAAGCCTGCGTTCACAAATACACGCACACACACCACATAGACACGTGTACATATGTGAAAAATGATATTTAAGGGCTGGAGAAATAACTCAGCATTAAAGTGTATTTGATGCTCTTCAAATGACTACAGTTTCATTTTCAGCACGCACACTCTGCTAGCCTCTATGGGCACACACACATACAGACACACATTAAATAAAAATGAAAACTAAATATTTTAAAAAGAAAATATGCAACCCTGTCTCAAAAAAAAAAAAAAAAAAAAAAAAAAAAAAGAAAGAAAGAAAGAAAAAGAAAAAGAACAGACAAGAAAAGAAAAAAGAAAATATTGAGAAGCCTTGCATCTGAGAGGAACATGTTCAGACTCTCTTTTGTGTGTGCTGGCATTCTGCAACAGCCATGTATGTAGTTTGTCCACTGCCATGTTTTGAATATGAAATGCTGCATGCGTCCGGGATATGCTGAATGTTTGAGGTCTTGCTACTGTCACTATTTTGGGAGTCCTGGGGAAATATGACAATGGGAACATGATCACGGGACTACATGTCCCTTCCTTGTATGTTTCTCTGCTTCTTGCTTGTAAAGAAGTCAGCCATTATCTCTTCCATGTTACCCTGTCACTATGTTCAGTCAAAATGCAGCAGCTAGAGCAACTGTGGACTGAGCCTACTGAAACCCTGTGTCAAAATAAATCTCTCCTATGTTAGGTTGTTTATGTCAGGTATTTTTCACAGTCAACTTAAAACTGGTACTAACACAATATCATTTTAAGCGTTCTCTAAATAGTTTAATTTATCTGGGAAGACTGTGTGGTCATATGCAAAGACACTTGGATATCTGCAGATTTTGATTATCAGCCTGGAAAATACCCAGCTATATAGAGTTATGACTGTATGCATGAACAATATCTTCTATAATATTTAGTATATTGTGGTAAAATTCCTAACATGAGCTCTGCCTTCAACAGTATATATATGCTCCAAACCTTGTTAGCAGATTGCAGTTTCTTCATCTTGTGCAAATGAAACATTAAGTTGACTGAGTAACAACATTCCCTTCCTCTCTCCTCCAGTATCAAGCATCCTTGTACTTGGAAAATTTGAGATAATTCATATAAGTAGATCCATGGGTGTTTACCCTTGAACGGCATAACTTCAATACCATCAAGATTTATCAGATTATTGAATTTTGTAAACATTTTTCCCTTTAAGATTGATAATAGTTCATAGTGAGATGTCACATTTTCCTTATCTGTTGTGCGGTTAGATTGTTTCTACATTTTGTGAGCAGTCCTGCAGTGGACATGATTGTGCTATTTCATTGTTTTTTCAATTCTATTTTGTTGTTGTTGCTGCTGTTGTTTGAGACAGTGTTTCTCTATGTAGCCTAGGCTCTGTAGATCATGCTGGCCACCAACTCATAGGGATCTGCCTGCCTCTGCCTCCTGAGTGCTGAGATTATCCCTGGTTTCCAATCTGTTAAGTTTTGAGAAATCTTGTTTAGTTCTTTAGAGGAGGCAACAGTTTATATTCCCACTCTGTACAGGATCCATTTTTTTTTAAACATTAGCACTGACAATTATTGCCTTTATTTATTTTTTTGATAATAGTATCCTGACAGATATAATATCTCATTGTGATTTTCATTAATACTTTTATGATACATTGTCATATTGTGTTTTTATTGTCTTAATGGTTATTACTATTTCTTTTTGGTAGTGCTGGGTCTTGAACCCAGATCCTTATTTGTGACAGGGAAGGATTCTACTTATGCATATCCAAGTCATTAGCACACTTATTTCTTTTGGTATTTATTGTTATTTTAAATTAGCATGAAGTAATGGGCTTCATTATGGCATTCTTACACAGTATATGTTTTCTTCATGTTCACCTCATTATGTTTTATAGTTCTCCTGACCCATCTCCACAGCTCCTAACTCCTTGAAAATTGTCCCTTTCTGATTTCATACTTAATACATATATGAGTATATATATATATATGTGTGTGTGTGTGTGTGTATGTGTGTGTACATATATGTGTGTGTATATATATGTATGCTTATATACATAAAACATGTTGTTTGTGTGTATGTAATATCTCTATTTCTACGCTTAGTCTATTTCATTTGGCATGATGGTCTTGAGTTCCATTCAGAACATGGAATAATGTCACAGTTTGTGGCTGAATAAAACTTAACTATGCATGTATACTACAGTTTATTTCTCCATTCTCTTTAAAATTATTTATTTTATGTGTATGAATGTTTTGCCTGCATATATATACACCATGTGTGTGCTTCATGCGTGAAGAAATCAGTTATAGGATGCTCTATAACTGGAGTTGTAGATGGTTGTGAGCTAGCAATTGAACTCTGGCCCTCTGGAATAACAGAGTGTTGTTAACCTATGAACTATCCTTCCAGCCTTTGCTTCTGTTCATTTTTTGTCGGGCCTTTAGGCTGGGTCTGTATTTTGACTATTTGGGATATTTCAAGAATAACTTTGATGGGTACATTTCTGCTGTGTGCTGATGTGAAGGCTTTCTCACACTTTGGTGGTTTATGAAAAACATCAGGAATTAGTGAGAGTCAACTACACTCTTCATCTTCTCAACTAAACTGTGTGCTTCCTCCTGTCTGATACTAGCAACATGCCCCACTCATTTGACTGGGTTTGCAAGGATGTGGTTAAAAAGCTTCAAGGAAAAGATCTGTGTCCTGTCAAATGTCTGTCAGATGCGACGAAGTTCTGTCAGTTTGAGATATTGCAGAAGGCTTCTCATTCATGGTATTGGAAATCTGAAGATATTCCAGTTGGATATTCCCTCCTGCAGATCTTAGAGCCAAATTTTCCAGTTCCAGGTATCAATAGCCTATGGGCAGAGAATTGTAAACATCAACATTTTCAGCAGTACCAGACCCACAAACTGCCCAGACATTAAATAAGCCATCCATCTCATTTAAAGTCAAAGGACAAGGAAGATCCTTTAGGAACCCCCTCATTTTTTGGACCCTTCCTTGCATTTGGTCATACAGTACTCCAAGAACCTGTTTAGATGGAGATATAATACCCATGTTACAGAAAAAGTAATTGAGGTTTCTAAAACAACTTTTCGAAGCTGCACAGTTCAAACTGGTAGAAATAGGAACAGACAGAGGTCAGTCTGTTTGTAAGTAGGTCTTTTTCTTTTTCAGGGGATGGATTCTGTACTTGAAAAGATGATATCAATAGATACTACACAAATGATGCTTTTCCTTTTTAAGGATTAAGACTATGCTTACCTTAGTTCTGGAATTTGCCCTCTGTAGTATTTATTACATATAATTCCATCTGTAGTATTTATTACATATATATATATACATATATATATATATAAAATTATTAGCTAGCTTTTTGACTAAGGTTTAAGTAAGGAGGGGAACTGTCTTTATATTTCCTATTCTCTAGAGCAACTGTCCCATAGTAAATTCTTGGCTAAACTCCTGTCCCCTCTTCTCTTCAGAGCCTGAAGTGTCAGCTCCCATTCCCCTCAAACACACTGTATCCCAGAAACTGAAGGGTAATGTGGGTGTCAACATCATTGCAGAAGGAAGTGTGTCAACAGAATTTGCTCATTCCTCTGGATACGACATCGAGGTTCAGTGTACCAGCATTCCAGCTTCAAACTTGGAAGATCTTCAAAACAGGTGAAAGTATGGGTCAGCCAAGTTCTGGAATGTGTTCTGGTAGGCAAAGATGCATCAGGAGGGTTTATGACAATGGATATTATTCTACTTTGTTTCTTAAAAGTCATTGAAATAATGGCTTACAATGCCATAATAATACTCATTAACACACAATCACCCATTACTGTTCTATTAATGTGATGGGGATAGGAAAACAAGACAGACAGACAAAGGTTCTGATCTGATGTAAGTTTCTGTTCATTGTCCCAACAACGGGCACGTAGGAAGGAAAGAATTGTCGAAGTAAATGGTTGGCATATTAATTAAAATGTGAGGAAGACTGTAATAACTGCTTGAACACCCCAGTGATTTGGGGCTTAGTTGACTCCTACCACATCTCTTCTGAGGTACAATGTAGAAGTAGAAATGTATGTTTTATGTGCAGCATTTTGGTGTGATATATGTATATAAGTCATCCTTCTTATAGATGCATATATGTATGTCAGTAGCATTATCAATCCATCTGGTAATCATTATTTAAATTTTTTTCTTTATTTTCTTTATTATATTTATTTACATCGCGTGCGTGTGCACACATGCATGCACCAAATATAGAAGTCAGAGGACAAGTTGTAGGAGTCAGACCTCTCCCTCTGCTGGGTGTGTCTGGGAATCAAACTCATGTCAATTTCCCCCTGTATATGCTGATCCACCCTGCCAGCCCAATAACTGTTATTTTTACAGCAAGAACACTTACCATCTGCTGTCTTGGCAGATTTCAAGCACATGTAGTATATTGTCAATTATAACCACATCAGGCTTTAATGTGAGTCCTGGGCATCTGAATTTATGTTCCTCATACTTGCATGGCCAGCGCTGTATAGACTTAGCTACAGCCTCAACCTGAAGCTAACACAATCTCCTTAGTTCTAAAAGGCTGGTTCGCATTTTCTGTTTGTTTGTTTATCTTTGTTCATGATTTGATCTATGTTCCTATGAAATTCGTCATTTGGATCGTTTCACTCTCATTTCACACCTTCAGGAAACTGGTGGAAAAGGAACCATCATTTGTGAAGGATTGCCGGATTGGAAGGAAGGACCTGTATGTGGTGACAGAGGCCTTCGAAGTGACCAAGGGTACAGTGCTGGAAGACAGTAGCAGTGTGGACTTTTCAGGAAAAGTGCTCACCCCCCAGTTAGCCAAGGTATGTGAAGAGGATATGAAGAAAGCCAATGCAGCCAGTGCACCCTTGCTTCTCAAGGGCTGTGGACACCAGTTTCTAGGGCTCAGAAGGATATGGTCATTATTTTCCTCTGCTGCTCATATGTATTATGTACTAACTCCTGATCTTAGATTGCTTTTTTTGTAGTCACATTTTTCTAAGTTTATTTTTTACATTCCAATCCCTGTTCCCCCTCCTTCCTCTCCTCCTGATCTCCCCATTTTCTCCCTACTCTACCTCCCATCTGCTCCCCAGAGTGGGTAAGGCCTTCCCTAGGAAGTCTACTAAGTCTGCCCCATCATCTCGTTGAGGCAGGACCAAGGTACCCAACCCCAACCCATTATAGGCTGAACAAGGTATCTCTCCTTGTTGAAGGGGCTCCACTAATTCAGTTTGAGCATTAAAATTAGATCTTGGACCCACTGCCAGTGGTCCAAGTCACACCATTGTTACCTATATGTAAGAACTATAGTTTGGTCTTATGCTGGATTCCCAGTTGTCAGTCCAGAGGCTGCGATCTTTCACTAGCTCGGGTCGGCTGATTCTGTGGGTTCCCCCATCATGGTCTTGACTCCTTTGTTTATATTATTGCTCTGCCATCTCTTCAACTGTTGTCCAGGAGCTTGGCCCAATGGTGAGTTGTGGATTTCTGCATCTACTTCCACCTGTTTCTGGAATTCTAACTTCTCTGGGGTTGTGGACGGTAGGTTGGTTATCTTTTGCTTTATGTCTGGTATCCACATATGAGTGAGTATGTGCTTGCTATATTTGTCTTTCTGGTTCTGGGTACCAGCTACAAGCCACAAGATCAAACAGTAATTATAGAGCCGTTATTTCATGAACTGACCCAGCACAGCCAGGTGCTCTGTGTGGAGGTTTTTAAACCAATATGAAAGTCACATTTGGTGTTATAGTCTTATGAATAAACGTCACTGTTTCTTGCTGTAGATTCTTCCTGTAGCTTACTCCTTTCTGTAACAGACTTGGGTTTACTTCCTACAGTTCAGCACTATCTGATCATTTACCGGGCACACTTTCTCCCATGCATTTGGAATTATTAATTATGTTCCCTAGCTATGTGTGAAACCTGTTCTCCACTACCAGATCTTAGTTTACTGATTACATCCCTTAGCTATATATCTATATAGTGAGACCCGTTTTTCACCATCAGGTCCCTGTTCCCCTCTGCTATGTAATTACAGAGATCTGCCTTCCTGCAGTTATCCTTATTGACAGGTATTTGGTCAGTGTTTAGGGGCCAGGCAAAAGCATCCCATCTAAGACATTCCCAAATATCCAATGGTATAGATTTACTACATGCCCAAAGCTATTGATTCATAGCTGCCTAGATGGATAGAAAAAAAAAGAAGCATGCCCTGGTTTTACCTCAGTGGCAGACAGAGAAATGATAACCTAACTCACCCCAGCTTATTACCAAAGATTTTAGCTCATCGATTTACTACTTGTGCTCTCCCTGAGAAGATAACAGCAAAGACAGTCAGCCCATTTGCTCATCCTTCGGGAAAAGTAAACTTTCTCGAAGGACTGTGCCACCACTGAGGCCAGAGCACTGGAAGTTGCAGGTTGTTTCTTGTGCACATGAAACTTGGACCCTCTCCTTGATCTACAGCCCTAAGTAATTGGTGCTAAAAGTTTCTCCTGGCAGTTTTAGTTTCTGCTCTGTGTGTAAATCTTATTTGCCTAGCTGGACCCCCCCCCCCAGAAACTAAAGCTTCACATTGTATTGCAAAAATAATTACTGTTTACAAATACACACACACACACACACACACATTCTCGCCATACCCCCAAGAACTGGGGAACAACAAGAAGAGATAGAAGAATAAAGAAACATGGAGAAAAGCAATCGTATGTGATTCAATTCTTTCCCTCAGTCCCCCTTAGTTATTTTTCCTTTGCTTGTTATAGAGTCTTAACTGGACCCTGTAAGGGACTTCAAATAGGGGGCTGGTTCCCCCCCAAAGCCTCACTCAGGGTTTTTTTTTCTAGTTCTGTCCATTTGCCTGCACATTTTGGGACATTATTGTTTCTTACTGCTGAGTAGTACTCCATTTTGTAAATATACCACATTTTCTTTATCCATTCTTCGGTTGAGGGGCATCTAGATTGTTTCTCAGACCTAGCTATTATGAATAGTGTTGCAATGAACATAGTTGAGCAAATTTCCTTGTGGTGTTTGTGTGCCCCTCTCCTTTGGGCATATGCCCCAAAGTAGTATTTCAGGGTCTCCAGGTAAATTGATTCCTAATTTTCTGAGAAATTGCCATACTGATTTCCAAAGTGGCTGTACAAGTTTGCATCCCACCAGCAATGGAGGAGAGTCCCTCTTACTCCACCCCCCCTCTTTCCCCCTCCCCCCAGCATAAGCTGTCATCGGTGTTTTATACCTTAGCCAGTCTGATTGGTGTAAGATGGTATCTCAGAGTTGTTTTGATTTGCATTTTCCTGATGGCTAAGGATGTTGCGCATTTCCTTAAGTGTCTTTCAGTCATTTGAGATTGTTCTGTTGAGAAGTCTATGTTTAGATCTGTGCCCCATTTTTTAATTGGACAGTTTGGTAGTTTTGTGTCAAGTTTCTTGAGTTCTTTATTTATTTTGGAGGTAAGCCCTCTGTCATGGGGTTGGTGAAGATCTTTTCCCATTCTGTAGGGGGGCATTTTGTCTTGTTGACCATGATCTTTGCTTTACAGAAGCTTCTCAGTTTCAGAAGGTCTCATTTATTAATTGTTGCTCTCAGTGTCTGTGCTACTGGTGTTATATTTAGGGAATTCTCCTGCACCTATGCATTCAAGGGTATTTCCCACTTTCTCTTCTATGAGGTTCAGTATCCTTAGATTCATGTTGAGGTCTTTGATCCATTTGGACATGAGTTTTGTATTTGGTATGGCTACATTGACATTAGTGCAGGATCTGCCTGGAGGACTGGATTGAAGCTGAGAGGCGGTGTAGGGATGTTTTATGCAGAGCCCTCCAGCCCGACTGTATCTGGTTTTAACTTAGTAGGTTAGATTTATGCCTATAAAGGACAAAGAAGTAGAGGAAAATTCCCTTTTGTAATAGAAGCTTAACCTTTATAAGCAACTTACAGGAAAGACTGGGTTGTATAAATATTTTGTTAATTTGAAATAGACATTTATAACCTTAAATGTTTACCATCATTTAAACATATATAACAATTTAGAAATAACTTGAGACAGCACAGTTGAATTTACGTTGCATATAAAGTTAGCTTACATTTACATATAAAGTTAAATTTAAATCACATGTACAGATATACACAGATATATCAAACAGGACTGGGTAAAAAAAAAAAAAAAAAAAAGAACCAGAGTGTGATCTCTGATTTGTACATTGTAGCAAACAGACGGGACATTTAAAGACACAGAGAAGACTAACAGGAAAGCAGATCTGCTGTAGATGGAACAGGCAAGGTTTTTGCATGACATGTGTGCCCTACTGGGCCCTGGGAAGGCTCGCCATTCTGCAAACAAGCCATGCGCATCAGAGCCAGTGAAAGAAGAAATTAGAGTCAGGGAAAAAACGGCAGAAGGTAAATGAATTTCGCGTGGCAGAAGCTGGTTAGACTGTCCCTGTGCCTAGGCGGCTGGTGTAGCAGAGGGAAGAACCTTGTGGGGTGAGGCTAGGCCACATGGTCAAGATGGCGGCTGCCATAAACAGGTTCCTGACCGCTGGCAGAAGTCAGAAAGTTTTGAGATATAATTTTGTTGGCTTTTTTCCTCCACGAGTGAGGCAAAAAGATGCGTGAAACCAACAAGACACTGCCAAGGGGCACAACACCCACGAAAGACCACCCACCGTAGGTCTGAGAAATGAATGTCTATGGGCAGTTCCAGGGTACAAAGCCCGAGAGACCCCTCATGAGCCCGAGAAACAAATGCACCAGTCAGAATGAAAGGTGCTACACCCGTTTCCAAGAATAAGGAAAACTTTTACGCTGACCAGAAAAGAAGGCGCCTTACTGAAATCGCAGAAAACGGGTAGATGAAAGTGTGGTGTTGGTTTGGGATCAGCATCCCTGAGACTCTGGCTGCCGCCAGCAGGTAGCAGGAGAGCTAGGGTGACCCAGGCAGAGGGAATAACACACCAGGCAGAAGGAGCTTGAGTGAGGAGTTTATTAGAAAGGGGAAAGGAAAGAGACATAGAGCACGGGGAACAGAAGAGAAGAGAGGAGAGAGGAGAGAGAGGAGAGCATGCGGGCCTCCGTAGTTTTCTAATTTTGTGGAGTACAGGTCTTTGAAGTATGACCTGACGATTCTCTGGGTTCCCTCAGTGTCTGTTGTTACTGATTTGTTAATTTGTTTCTGATTTTGTTAATTTGGATATTCTCTCTCTGTCTTTTAGTTAGTTTGGATAAAGGTTTGTCTATTTTGTTGAATTTCTGGAAAAGTCAACTTTCCTCTCATTGATTCTTTGTATTGTTTCCATTTTATTGATGTCAGCCCTCAATTTGACTATTTCTTGTCATCTACTCCTGGGTGAGTTCGCTTCTTTTTCTAGCTCTTTCGGTGTTTTAATATATAGGATTAGCAAATGTTGATAAAATCCGAGGTAGATGTAATTGTTTGTTACCATGTTTTGTTTTGAGCGAAGGATCTGAGGATTCTGTATTGTTTGCACACCGAGTTTCTTGGCTGGAAAATCACTTTTATTAAACTGCAGCTGTTAATACATTCTATGGTCACCTGATAACAAATCATTTTTGGGATAAGTTGTCATATAGCCTAGACTGTCCTCAAACTGGCTATGGAGCTGAATTCCTGGTTCTCCTGTTTCCAGGTATATCCACCATGCCTGGCTTTGATAAAATGTTTGATGGACAAAATTTAAATACTTTTGTGGACATGTGATTTACATAATCTACTCACCACAACCAAGCATTATTTAAAAATTAACATAAAGTTTATTATTAGCTTAAATATGGAATATTATCTCTCTCTCTCCTCCCTTCTGTAGTTTAATTCTGTATTCCTTAACTATTTTAGTTAAGCTTATGTTTGATAATTTGGCAGATGTATGTAATGCATTCTGATTATTCTCACTCTGAGATCTCTTACCTTCCTCCCTCACTCACCAATCCACCTTCCTCCTTTCAAGTCCCTTTCTCCTGTTCAAGCCTCTTGGTTTTGCTGTATGACCCACTGAGTTTGAGAATTCTGTGTGAGCATGGCTGTATAACTACCCATTGGAACACGATAACTTCTCTGACTCCAGCCTCTATTGCTTAAGGCAGAACCATGGAAACTTTCAACAGATTTCTGCGTATCTGCAGTGAGTCCCTGCTAATTCTATGGAAGGTTTGTTCAGGTGTTCAGAAACTGCATCCAGCTCTATCTGAGCTAGGACCGCTTCTGAAACCCAAGTTGCACATTAGCACTGAGTGGTCCCAAGACTGAATCTCAAGCACCATTCAAGCGTCCAAAAACTGACAGCTGAGGTAATAGCAAGAAGAAAAAAAGCCAACTCACCAAACAAATGTGGATATGCTAGGTACCATACTAAACATATTACCAACAACCCAATTCCAATTGCCTAGCACTGATAGCAAAAACAAAACAATACCCACCCCCAACATACATACAGAAACAAAAACAAACAAGACAGAATACAAAAATCCCCAAAAGCAAAATCCAAAAAAAAAAAAAAAAAAAAAAAAATGTGTGTCCTTGAAAAGCTAGTATTACTATAGTAATGTTTCCAGGAGAAAAGACAATGATTTCAAACATTAATGATGAATATGTTGAAGTACCTTGATAAAGATGTGAATAAATGCCATGATGAAGACTAAAAGGCAGTTGAATGAAATAAGGAATTTGATAAAGAGATTAAAAAAAAAAGAAAACCCAAATTGAAATAAAATTGAAATGAAAAATTCAGAAAGTTGAGAAGATTTGTGGACAGTCTCAGCAGCAGAACAGGTCAAGTGAAAGAGCTTGGAGTCAAGACAGAGGAATTTTATCAGTCACCACTGATGACAAATCCCAGAAACTAATAATGCCTTAATTAGGGCTTCATTTACTTCAGCACGAGGGCAGGGTGGGAGAATGAGACCCTCAGTGCAGAAGGAGACAGTCAATAGTTTGGAAAAATCAAGACATTGCAGTAGGGCTGGTTTTATAGCTCAGTGGTAAACACGAGCCTGGCATTCATGGTGCTCTGGGTTCAGTCGCCAGGCCTCTCCACACACACCTCCCCAATCTCAAGCTAAGTGAATATTATCCTACAAGGGGGAGAGGCAGGAACTGAACATGGGGACCAGGGGGAAGGGGAAGTGAGAGACTGAGCTTTCTAGATTTATCTGACTTTTCATTACAGGCATATGTTGCGTTGATGAAGAGTAAACATAATTTTTATGAGACAAAGAGATATGAATCCCTAGGAATGTTTTGTCTCCCCAGGCTCAAGCCCAGGGACAGTGGCAAAGGGAGACAAAGGATTCAGTGCCTATTCCAAAAGGTGCAGTGGTGGCCTACAAGAAGAAGCAACTGGTCATCGAGAATGACACTTGTGGTGAGCAGATGTCGGGACCAAGGGGGAACGGGGTGTCCATTGCCCTGAGGCTCCTCTTCTCTTATGTCTAAAGACCCGGAGGGGCAATTCTCACTGTCCTAGCTACAGGTCTCACCATTCTGAGCCTCCTCTACCCACGGCCACGCTCAAATACTGCTCTGTGTAGATGCAGAGATAGACTCCCACGTGGGAAGGGATCCAACTTGGGGTGCTCAAATGGAGGTGTCTTTAGCTGGATGAAGCCCAGGCTCAATCCCAGCCATCTCTAGTCTCCATCTCTAGGTAGTCAAGGTCCTGCCACTCTCAGAAGCTCAGCAGCTAGCCACCAGGCCCACCAGGTGATTCTTAAACCCACATTAATGCTTCATAAAACAATGGAGGCAGAACACAAAGGAAACTGTAGGCAGATACCTGGACAACACAGCACAGGATTTTCTCATTGCTATTAGCTTAAAATGTATCATTGCCAACACACACACACACACACACACACACACACACACACTGCTCAGACACTGCAGTAGGGCAGAAGTGTCTTTGTTAGGTATGGACATGTATATTATGTGAGTGTCACACATGAGTAGGTCTCAGAGCTTCAAGCTCCACCTCAATGTAGAGGCCAGCCCCTTAGGAAAGGGGGGGATGCCTTTCCTGCATGTGCATGCATACTACACGTATGCACACATACAGGCATATATACACCACACACACACACACACACACACACACACACACACACACACACCCTCTGAAATATTTACCTTGTAAATCCTGGTCAAGGGAGGGAAAGTCCTAGAGTCAATCCCCTAGTTGGCAGCAATAGACAAGGAAGCATTTCCAGTATGGTATAATTACTGGATGATGGCTTCTAGAGAAAGATTATCCACACTCTATTGGCACCCTTGACAGAGTCATAGGGTGGGGAGTAAGTACAATATACTACAGTTAGTGGTTGATGGCTTCTAAAGAAAGATTATCCATACTCTATTGGCACCCTTGACAGAGTATTAGCCTAGGGAGTGGGTACAAGGTTGGAGATGCCTTTGAAAAACCTAGGCAGATGTCCTTACTGTTGAAATGAACCCTTTACTAAAAATATTAACAGCAAACACACAAACAAGATCCCCAGATATGATTAGATCAGATGTTGTACCCAGAGAAGCAAGGCTATGTTTGTAGAGGCCAAATCCATGGGAGTCCCCTGGGAGCTAAACCATAAAGGTTGTGGTGGCACAGAAGGGGAAATGTGATGCCCCACGTAGAGGGCACTTGGGGAGCTGAATTAAGGGGCGGGGTTGTGTGTGAGAGGAGGTGATGATGGGAGAGGGCTCTGGGGTGAGGGCTTCTGAAGGTGCAGAGAGTGTTGTCTGGTCAAGCAAAGAGCTTGCTTAACCTGAGGCCCGGAGACAGTGATGCTTTACCATCACTTACCCCTGTCTTCATGTCAGCTTGAGGCTGGGGGGTCAGGGAGACAATAGATATCTCATTTCCCCTTACATATCATAAGGCACAGTTTTATCCTAAGCAACTGGCTACTAACGTGACAATTATTGAGTCCTGTCTGGTCTGTTATGAGGACTGAATTCGTGCTTGCCAGTCAGCACATTGTTCCAGTTGGTCCCTCCCCTGCTGTGTAGACAAGATGCCCTGTTCTCCCCCTAGTGCTCAGAATGTGACTTGCAGACACACTTGACGTTTGCCTTTTGTTTAATTTTGTTTCACATGCTAAATGTTGTCAATTTCCTCCCCGGGCTCGTTTCATGAGTCATGCGCTTTAAGGTTGTTGTTAGGCAAGTCCTAGGGCTCAGCACTTCACTATGGATATAATGCAAAACTATGTAAGACTGCCAGATCCAGAGTGGATAAGGAAGGGCCAGCTGGTAACTGAAGGCTGACAGGAAGCTTATGTGATAGGGCAGGAGGAAGATTTACCTCCTGGAGTATTTATATGTTTATTCCTCTTTTACGAGTAGTTATGTTTTACCTGCATTAAGGAAGATGGCGCTGCCATGTGGGTGTGGTCCTTTGCAAGAGCAGTAGAGGCTCTTAACTGTTGATCTGGTTCCCCTGCCCTCATGGGGAATTCTTGGATGTCAGAGGACTTGACGGTCACCTAGATGCCTATTGGAAATGCAGGTTTCAGGCTGGTGAGATGGATTGGCTGATAAAGGTGCCCGTTCCCAGGCCGGATGCCTTGAGTTCCCCCTGTGGGTCCCCTATGTTGGAAGGAGATAACTGACTCCCAGAGTGGTCCTCTGACCTCTGCATGTGCTGTTGGCATGCTCACACACAATAAACACACGTAATTCAATGAAAGAAAATGCAAGTTTCAGGGCGCCTATCAAAGGACCTGGTTCACAGGTCACAGGGGCCAGTGTCTATGCTGACGTCATCCCTGGCGTTTGGCCTGAGATTTCCAAAATGGGGTGTTGGAACGGCTCTAGTAGATGTAACTGTACCTCTTCCACCTTGTGTCTTTTCCGCTCAGCCATTCTCCTCTCTGCTAGCGCTAAGAAGAGAACACTTCTCGGGATGCTTCGTATGCAACCTAGGTGTGGTTTTCAATACTTTGAGCACAAACTACATCCTCTACAAATTGAGATAAGTATGTTTTTTGTTGTCTTGGGTCTACATGGTGACAGCTTTATCATAGGGAATCTCTCCGGAAAGCGGAATTGCAAGGGGAAACACAAGTGTGGCTGGAGGGGCTGGGGAGGTCAGAGGTGGGGAGGGTGGAGAAGAGTGACCCCTTCGCTTTCCCCCTCCAGTGTCAAGTTCCAGAAGAGAGCTAGGTGAGTGAATGCTTCTTGGAACATGAAAGCCAAACCTACTCCTCCATGCTGACAACCTGATAAGAAAAACCCATGTGTCTTTGCCCAAGGTCTTGAGATCTGCTCTTGTACACAAAGGGTGGGGATGGAGAATAGAGAAGTATCAGGGATACAGGGGAAGTAAGGTCCATTACTAATTCTTAATGCTGGGCAATATGTTTTCCCTTTCTAGACTGGGAGTTCAATTACATCTCTCCAATTGGTAAGTGTGTATCTGGTGGGGTTGTTATGGAGATCTGGGACATGTTACTGTGCTCAACCCTAGCCCTGGCTCTGGTTCCTGTGGGATGGGAAGATCATGGAAGGCCGGGGTGGAGAAGTTATAAACTGGATGGAGCAGGAAGAGAAGGCAGGGGAGATACTCCAATGCGTGTGTCTTCTTTTCTAGGAAGGTTAGAGGAACCCTTACGTCATGGTGAGTCTCTCTCTCTCTCTCTCTCTCTCTCTCTCTCTCTCTCCCCCCGGAACCCGGGCTTTGAGCAGGAAACCCCAGGCTTGTAACTCATATGACCACTTTCTTTAGATCTCAGAAAACCGAGGTCTACATTTGTATTTTTAGTTAGTTCAGCTCACACAAGCACAACTCTGTGCACTAACATTCACTGAGGATGTCCTAGGATGCAGGCCACACTCCAGTGTGGGCAACGTGAAATAATCAGGTGACAGTGCCCACGTCTTTGGAGGTTCCATACGGTATAGCCTGTCACATTCACAGAGGACACTTGGCAGAACCAGGGTATCCCAAAGCGCAGTGCTGGGTTAATTCTTCATAGACGGTGGAGATTCTTACTAATCCGGGTAGCTCTTCCGTAACTTGACCCCTCCTCATGTCCCCATGGGAAACTGATTTGGAAGCACGGAGTACCGCCATCTTTGGAGCCCAGCAGTACACTTCCTTCCTGACATCCCAGAGTGAGCACGTGGTGAGTTCTCTCCCACTTGCACTAACTAACCAGTCTCCAGGGTTTCCATCTGCACTCCCTGTGTGGTGTCCCCTCCTTGCAGAGCACTGAAGCTGCCTGCTGTCCATACTGTCCAGCTTCATGATGGTTGCCTCACTGGGGCACATGCAGGCTATCAGTGGAGATGCTTGTAGCCGCCAGGAATGGCAAGGAAGGGAAGGGCTTACCATCCCAGGGATGTTTAACTGCAGAATTGCTCTCACGTTCTGATTGATGTTGCTGTCTGTGAGCAGATTTCAAGTGTCTACAAAACGAGATTACTGAGAAAACAGACCTACTGGCCAGGCTTTCGAAGGACGTTCAAAATGTTGTATTCTCTAGCCTCCTGCCCATGCTCAGTGACAAGGAGAGTCTCTATGACCTGATGTACATGGTGAGAGTTGCATAGCTTCCTAGAGATGAGGAATCCTGTAAAGGGGCAGTTTGGGTGATGGGAGTGCCAAGATACATGAGGGAGGAGGGATATACCTGATGCCCAGGAGATGTCAAAGACTTGGGATTCGGGCTCTATGTGCAGTATGAGGGCTGGAGAGTGTGGCCTTGAATTCTGCTCACACCACCCCTGGGGTAGGCAGAACCTATAGCCCACAGCTTGCTTAACTCCTCGGCACATAGGCACATTACACAGCAATGGTTTTGAGCCAGGTATTCAAGCTGAAGCTACTTTCAGGAGGGTTGCAAGTTCAAGGCCTTTCTTGGCTACATAGCAAGTTCAGAGCTGGCACGGGCAACGGCATGAGACCCTGGGACACCAAAGAGAACATTAGAGGGAAAAGGGAGCCAGGCTGTAGCTTCAGGGTAGAGGCCTGGTCCAGCATATATAGTCATCCATTCCTTAGCACCGGGAATGATGTTGTTAACATGCTACCTGTCTCTTCTAGCTGGAATTGGATCAGCTGGGGCACATGGATGGCCCAGGTGGTGTGATCCTAGATGAGCTTCGAAAGGACTCGTGGAATGTCCTAAAGGACCTTATTCTTTATCTCCTTCAAGCCCTAATGGGTGAGATTTTGGGAAAGTGTGGGAGAGTCCCGGTGCTGGCTCTCAGAGGGCTGTCGTAGGTGCCACCTCCCCAGATCTCTGGAGTTCTCATGACCGTTCTCAAGCACCCTTCTCTCTAAGGTCAGCAAGGCTAGAGTGATAGCAGTCCATGTACTACAGACAGAGTCTGAGGTGTAGGAAGTGAGCAGTCACCAAGCTCCTAACATATCTTTGGTGCAAGATGGTTCCTGTCTCAGCCCTTAGATTTTCAGGTTCAGAGTCATATTGCTTAGGATTTTGGAGCCCATCTCCAGGGCAGAAGACCTTTCTAGGGCAGTGAGCTTGAGTTTCAAGTCTAGTGGGGTACATTCCTCTGTACCAGATTTTTTCCTCTCATTGTGTGTCCTAGTTCATGGTGAGAGGCCGATATTGAGTCTATCATTCTGCTTTCTAACATGCCTTTTCCTCCAGTGCTGAGTGATACCCAACTCATTCTGCTGGCCCAGTCTATAGAGAAGAGGCTTCTCCTCCAGCAAAGAGAGCTGGTAAGAACCCCCATGGGGATGGCATCCAGGGAGGGGGGAGATGAAAGCAGGAAGCGGAAGAACATTCTAGAAGAAAGCAAGACAGTTTGCACAAGGAGAGGAGCCAGGAACCCCCTGGGTGCCTTCTGTGACTGAGGAGCTGGCATTTTGGATTTGGACCTGTCATGAGCATCTTTGTACTTATGGTGGCCTCAGAAACAAGGCCCATTAGGTCTAAATTAGCCACCCAGGGAGGCATCTTTGTACGACCTAAGGGGACCAAAGTCTGTTATACCCTTTTTTGTTTACCTTCTTTGCTGTATCATTTTCAAATTGTCTTTTCTCTCTCCATATGTTAATCTATAAATACTAAGGTGTGCCTAACCATATGCATACATGTGCACACACAGACACACACACAGACACACACAGACATACAGATACACAGACATACAGACACAGACACACACACACACAGACAGACATACAGACACAGACACACACACATACACAGACACACACACAGACACACACAGACAGACATACAGATACACAGACATACAGACACAGACACACACATACACACACACACACACACACACATGGACATACAGACACAGACACACACACATACACAGAGACACACACAGAGATGCACACACACAGACACACACAGACACACACACACAGAACACTCTTGTACAGCACACACTTTATTATCACTGTGTTGTTGCTGTGGCTTCCGGTCTTGCTCAGTTCAGTGCCCTGTGTGAGTCCTGGCTGCTCTGACGGAATGTTTCTCACTCTGGTGTCACAGTCTAGTCTGCCCTACCTGAGAGTTTCTCTTCTAGGTGGAGAGCATCCTGCAGCCAAACTTCAAGTATCCCTGGAGCATCCCCTTCACTCTCCAGCCTCAGCTTCTCACCCCACTCCACGGGGAGGGCCTGGCCATTACTTATGAATTGCTGAAGGGGTGTGGGCTGAAGATGGAGCCAAATAATCCCAGGTCAACTTGGGATCTGGAAGCCAAGATGCCCATGTCTGCCCTTTATGGGAGCCTGTCAATTCTGCAGCAACTTGTAGAAGCCTAAATCTTCCTGAGACCCTGGCTTCAGTGCTGAGTGCTGGATACATTTGTTATATAGCACCATGGCATACACAAGACAGGTGATTTCTGTGCATGTTCTAGTTGGTGGCAATAAGGATGCCGACTAAAGGTTCTTCTCTTTTTGAATTTACCATTCATTCACATTAATATAAATAATACATGCTGATCATATTCACCTCCCCCATTGTCCTTTTTAAATCCATCTCTCCCAAGCCCCTTTCCTCTATCTTCTCATTCAACTTTTTTAATGCTCTACTGCACTTAATTAGGCTTGTTTGCAGGACTGTGGGGTTATAACCTGAGTAAGGCTAACTTCTCAGAGGCCACCCTGCTGAGCCACGTGACTCCTCTTCCCCCAGTAGCATTAGCTGCCTACAGTGTCTCAGGGAGGGTTGATGCCTTATAGGCCCCACGTCTATCCATGACGGAATGTGGGTGGCCCTGGGCTCTCTTGGTCTTGTGTAGGTAGCCATTGGTACTGTGAGTTTGTGGGTGTAACAGCCATCCCATATCCTTGCCCTGTCCACGAGTAAGTTTGCTGGTGTCTGTCAAAACTCCTCAAATGGCAGGCTAAAGTTTTAAACATCCTTATATGTAAGATAAAATAAATGGTAGTGTTACTTAATCGTGTGCACTTTGATTTGTCCGGGGGTCAAAGGTGTTGGTGTCAGCATCTTTGAAGTGTGTCAGGAATAAATTGGGGATATTTACAGGTAGATAGTTAATAGTATGATTACTTATCACTCTTTCTAGGCACCCTTACTCATTTCATCATCCGCTCTCCTTCTGTGCTTGCCCCCTTTTTTATTAGATCCGCTCTTTTTTCTCCATTTTTCCTGTCCCTTCTGTCTTCTTTCTGTTGCTTTCCACTCCCGTACCCCTACGGTGGCCCCTTCACTTTCCCGGCCCCTCCCCTGCACTTGCTCTGAGGTATGTATTCACATCTGAAGTTTTGAGCTAGGAGGTTCCAATGAGTGAGAACATTTGCTTGTCTTTGTGGGTCTGGGTTAACCCCTCAATGGGATTTTTCTCCAGTTCCCTGATTAGCATTCCACATACCGCACATTTTCATTACCCATCATCAGTTGAGGGACATTTACGTTCTTTCTCCTTCTTATTGTGAATAGAATAGCAATGAACATGGCCGAGCAAAGAACTCAACACCCTACTCCACAGATACTTGCCCATCAATTTGAAGGTAACACTAATTTCCAGGCTGGCGACACCAGTTTGCAGTTCTACCAAATGACTACAAACTAAGCAGCATCAAAGAAAAAAACAAACGAACAAAAAACCCCAAACTATTCCTTTGTTGCTCTGGACACCGGAAGTCAACTATTACCTTGTGCTTCTCAGAGCTTCAGGGAGAAAGGCCGCTCGCTGCCTCTTCCTAATGTCTGGTGGCTGCTGGCTGTCCTGGGCATTCCTCGGCTTGGGACTACACCATCCTGATTTCTGCCCTATGTTTTTGTTTGCCCTTCTTCCTTGATCTCTGTGTCTGTCCTCCCTCCCCTAAAGACACTGGTCTTTGGAAGTGAGGTTCCTTTCAATCCAGAATGACGATGCAATGGAATGTGTCTACAGAGATTACACTTCCAAATGTTACGTTCTGAGGCTCAAGATACACGGCCTTCCAAATGAGCTTCGCTGATTTAGGGGCCATGGGAGGAAACCCGTGTCTGCAGGGACTGTGCATGTGAATTCCGTGTGGGTGTGAGTTCTTAGTCAATGCTCTAGTGCCGGGAAGACACAGAGGCCACGGCAACTCTTATAAAATAAAATAAGGTACTTAATTGGTGCTTGCTTACAGCCCCACAGGCTTAGTTCATTATCCCCAAAGCAGGCAGGCAGGCAAGCAGGCAGGCAGGCAAGCAGGCAGGCATTTCTAATCCCTTTCATGTAGTACCACTCCCCAGTGACCAAGCATTCAAATATGTGACCCTATGGGCTCATTCCTAATTCAAAGCGCCACAGGCTCCCAGCAGACAGGACAGGGGGAGTGTCCTACCTACAGCAAGCATTTGGAAAGCTGTTCTGGATGCACACGGGTGAAGTTAGAGCTGCTGGAAACTGGGTGGCCAGTTTTGGATTCCTTGTGGCCTAGAGAAACCTGTTCACATTTCACCCCGTGAGACATTAGAGACCACAGGGGACGGGCTGCTGGCTGCAAGGAGACTAGAAGGGAGCAGACACCAAGTGTGACACTGGAGCTGCCCCCTTTGTCCAAGCATCATACAGTGTATTTCAAAAGGTAAGCACCCGGAGATCAACGCGCCTGCCAATTATGCTTGCCAACCTGATACACCTGGGAAGAGGCAGCCTCAGGTGACGGCCTGCCTCTGCCTGATTGGTCTGTAGGCATGTTCGTGGAACATTTTCTTGATTGCTAATCGAGGTGCAAGGACCTAGCCCACTGTGGCTTTTTTGAGCCAGTGGTCCTGGGGTCTATAAGGAAGCTGAGTAAGCAAGCCATGGGCGTGAGCCAGGGAGCAGGGCTCCTCCCTGGTCTCTGCCTCAGCTTTTGCCTTCAGGCTCTTGCCTTTCCTGTTAATGGACTGTAGCCAGCAAGGCAAATAAACTCCAACCTCCAGACCTCAAAGACAGACTGGGGTCTCTCCTTCTTCCCAGTGTACCTACATCGAGTAATCTTCTTTTTCTGAGTTCTGCTATTAGGCTGGCTCTTTTAATTGGCTTATTGAAGATGGTTCCCAGACATGGATATCTAGGATTATGCCACCCTGGTTGATCAATTGACAAGACTAGCACAGTTGTGTACTGACAGTCTAGTTTCTGCCAGCAGATGGCAGCATTGCCCAGCAGTAAGCTGCCGGTTGGCACCCTCCCCGCCCCCAATCCTCCTTCACCTTCCTCCCTCCCCCTACCCCCTATTGGGTTAAGGTGGAATGGGATGGGAGAAACTGGGCAGGACAGAGGGATTAACACTGGTCTCTTTTTCCATGCTGAAGCAGGTTCTCCCTCTTGAACACTGCATTGCTTGTGTGAGATAGCTCTTTAGACATTCCTGAAGGGAAAACCTGAGTTATGGGGAACCTGGAATATTTTAGAAATATTTCAGAAAATATGACTTGGTGAGATGTCAGCTGCTCATACTGGAACTATTATGGGCTATGTGATAAATCAGATTGTGTCGTTGCTGAGCAAGGGCTTCAGCTGGAAGTCTTAACTGCCTTGCAGCACTAGGGAAATATTTCTCAGTGAGTTCAGACAGTCATAAAACCCACCCAAAACCTTAGAACCTTGATTGGCAAAAAATGCCAAGACTCAGTATCTTGATGGGAACACAAGAACTGTTCAGATATTGAAAAGCTGCCTTCCATGAGGAAGCTGGAAGTATCTAGCTTTGGGGATGGGTGACGGCTACCTTTGAGAGGAGTTGTAAGCCAAAATCTCTGAATTTCATATTCTCTCTCTCTCTCTTTCTCTCTCTCTCTCCCTCTCTCTCTCTAACTCTCTGTCTCTTTCTAACTGTCTGTCTCTGTCTCCCTTCCCCCATCTCTCTGAACTCAGGGTCTGTACATGTAAGGCTAATGCTCTACCAGAGAACTACATTCTAGCCCATCCTTCTATTGGATTAAATTAAGTAACATAAATAAAAAGCAGAGAGAATCCGGCACAGCGCCCGGTGCTGCAGAGGCCCATCAAGTGCGTATGAACTTGAGGCTTGTTGTGAATCTGATATGGAGGCTATCAGGGAGATGGTGCAATGGGCAGAAGAAGATGGCGTTGCTTGATTTCTGGGCTATTAGGCTTACTTTTTCTCTTTAAGTTAATCTTTGGGTATCTTTGGGCAATTGAACAAACTTTAAGTAGTGTCCTTCCCCCCAGGAGGTGTGATAAGTGACTGACATTCCCAGCTAGATCTCCCTTTCCCAGCATGCTTCACAGCATGCAACAGACACTATCTGTTGGAAGGTGCATGGGCTGTGCAGCTGACTTCTCCCAATCCCCACCCCCTCACCCTGCTCACCAGGCTGCACCTGGAGCAAATGTGGCTTGTGAGCTAGTCACTGAGAGAGGAGGCCACCGTGGCTTGCTGCCCACTCCACTGTCTCTCAGTCTCTCACCTGGGCACGTGTGCACAGCCTGTCCCGAAGCTGGTAGCCTGGCCTGACAAGGAATGGAGATAGGACCATGCGGGTGCGAATGTGGCAAATGCTGGGCGTGGTAGTCATCTCTCAGACACGAGGCAGGGTGGAAGTCTTTATGTTCAAGAAGTGCAGGTCGGAAAGGTACCAGCCAGCCTTTTCAAAACTGTGCGCGGTTGATGACCTTGCAGCAATGATGACTCCCAAGTGATTCTCAGTAGGATCTGCATCCGTAGGTCCTCGTCCTCTGAGAAGCAGAGCCTGCTCCAGCTGTGCCTTTGCAGACTGTCCTGACCTTGCAGAGGTCAAGGTCTTGAGTTCCTTTAGCTGTAGCTCTAAGAGACCAGGAGTTAGGCAGATTGCTTGGTAGGCAGGCAGACAGGGAGATGGGGTAATAGGTAACAAAGGTGGCAGCTTCGAAGATGGTCACCCTCTCCCCATCTGTCTGTCTAACTCCCAGCTACCGCAGTGTGTGTGTGTGTGTGTGTGGGGGGGGGGTGGCTGGTTTAGTGGGAGTTCCAATAGGACTCTCCCCTCATGTCTAATAGTTCTTTTTGTGATGGCTATGCTGTCTAGTGAGTTGGACTTGCTTTGTGTAAGAAATAACTATGTACAGATGTCCACACAGGTTAGGAGCAAGCCTGACATTAAGCTACTTGTCTCCAGTGTTAATTGACCCAGGATTCCAGGTGATAGCGATGAACACACCAGGGAAGGTGAACAAGGCAGAACCTTTGCCCTCAAGGGGTTCGAATGGGAACTAACTTGTCTCCAAAAGGAAGGACATTTTTACTGTCTGAATTGCTGTGTCATGAGGCACCCCGAAGACAGTGGCTTCAGAGAACGAGCACTGGACTTGTCTTTGATTTCCATTTTTCCTATGGGTCAGGGATTT